TTTGTAACCCAGGCTGGCCTCGAACTCGCAACAATCCTCCTGCCTCAGCCTCCCAAGTGCTGGGATTGCAGGGGTGCATCCCCACGCGTGGCATCTCCAGATTCTTGTAGGGAGAAGGGTTCCCAAATACCCTTCAGGAGACGTGGGGAGCTGTAAAGCTGTGATGACAGGCCTGTGTGTATGTACGTGTGTTTGGCATGTGTGGAGACCCGTAATGATGTGAGTCTAGGGAGTTCCTGAGGGGAACTAGGAGAATGACGCTGTGTCATATATGTATACTGATGGATGCTTTTGGCTTTTTGGGTTTTTTTTTTTTTTTTTTTTTTTTTTTTGGTACTGGTGATCTGGTGATTGAACCCAGGGTCTTCATGTGGAGATACATCCCCACATCCCCCCTTTTATTTGAAGACATGTTTTTTGTTTTGTTTTGTTTTGTTTTGTTTTGTTTTGTTTTGTTTTGTCTTTTTGAGACAAGATCTCACTATGTGATTCAGGCTGGCCTCAAGCTCACTTTGGCCTCGAACTCACATTGGTCCTCCTGCCTCAGCCTCCCGAGTGCTGGGATTACAGGCATGCGCCACCACACTCAGTTTAAGATATGATTTTATTAAGTTGATAAATTTCGCAGGCTGGGCTTGAGCTTCCAATCCTCTGGCTTCAGCCTCCCAGAGTGCTGGGATTACAGGCATGTGTGTCACCACACCTGATGTTGCATGCATTTTTATGATTGGGGGTTAGAAGGTTCTGGGGTGTGTTCAAGATATGTACACACCAGCGGGTGTCTGTATAGGACATGTATGTGAATGGGTTTTGCATTACGGCATGTGTGCAAATGTGTGTACCTGGGTGTGTATCTCCCCTCAGGGGTGTATTAGTGTTTTTTTTTGTACCAGGAATTGAACTCATGACCTCAGGCTTGTCAGACAAGCACTTATGCCGTTGAGCTACATCCCCGGCCCCTAAGGGGTGTATCAGAGTATGTGTGTGTCTCTATTTCAGGGGTTCTGTTTGCACCTGGTGATGGTCTCTGGTGTGGCCAAACCTCCTGTAACAGCACCCAGGGAAAGCCTTAAAGTCCCTGGGATTAGAAGTCTCAGTTCAGAGGGAGCCCAGCCTAGCAGAGGGGGCAGAGGGCAGTGGATGCGGAAGGAGGTGGGTTTCCGAAGGAGCAGGGACAGCGGTCTCCCACTTGGCCCAGGTTTTGTTCTCTCCACCTCCTCACCCTCCTTTTCAAAATGATCTAAAACCATTGGAGAGAAAGGAGGCAGGTTCCAGATTCAGCCCCTCCGAGCCTAGGAAGCCCACCCGGATTGTCCCAGGGGAGGGAGGGAGGGAAGGGCGTGGTCCCTGCGGTTCAGCCCAGTCCTGGCATTGGGAGATCAGAAAGACACCATCCCACCCCTTCCTTCAGGGGCATCCATCTCATAGTGTAGCGTCTGGGTGGCCATGGGCGGAGGCTGAGGGGCCCCCAGGGTGGTGGGGGGTGGCGGATAGAAACCAGATGCCTAGGGGGTTTATACTGGAAGGACCAGAGCCGCAGCCTCTACCCGCCCCTGCCACATGGCGCCTCTGGGGGGGCGCCCCACCCCCTGGGAGGCAGGGCTGAGGGAAGCCTGACAGGGTGGAGGTGGGTCCTTGCTAGGGATCCAGTTGCTGCCCCCAGTTCCCGAGGGCACTGGGAAGGTGGGTGGGGAGCAAGACCCAGCAATACCAGGACTCAGCTGGGATGCAGGGCTGTCTTTAAAAAAGGTGCGGAAGAAGCCAGCCTCTAGCACCCGAGGGAAACAGGGCTGAGGGCTGCACTGGGAGCTCCGCCTGCCTCTCTGACACAGACCCTGGACCGGGCTGTGGCTCTGCCTCTAGAACCGTCCTGCTGATGTTGACGCATCAGGGCTCACTTTGTCCTGGGACCCAGTCCTCCTTTTTTCCCTTCCCTAGCACTCTTTGGACTTGAATACTCCCGCTCCCTACCTCCCAGGTAGGGTTAGGGATGAAAGCCAACAGGGGGAGGCGAGAAGGTTGACCCTTCTCATGTCTTCGCTCTAGCCCTGTCCCTCCTTTCACCTTTCTTTTTCTTCTTTCTTTCTTTCTTTCTTTCTTTCTTTCTTTCTTTCTTTCTTTCTTTCTTTCTTTCTTTCTTTCTTTCTTTCTTCCTTCCTTCCTTCCTTCC